TGGCTAGTACACTGGTGACCTCGATCAACAGCGTGGGATTCGCGCGTTGGGTTACATAACTAAACATCGAGCTGAACATGGAGACCGTAATATGCATACAGCTAATGATCGTGAATTATTCAATGCATACAGTTTAAAATCACTTACAAAGTTTGTTGTAATAATAAACGTAGAAAGATAGATTTAATATTCGCCGCTTTTGAACACTATTAACCTAATTTAAAAAAGAAGAAAAGAAAGACTAGTTGTAATAAATAATTTAATAGTGAACCATAAACCACGTTTTAAACCTTATTAAAAAGAAAATTAACATTAAATACCGCAGGGTATATTATTGATAGCAAGTCTGTTTAAGTTATACACATGAAGAGGTCTGATTTCCTTGCCGAATGAAAAACGTTACCTGTTTACCTGGCCTGCTTTCTAATACGTATTACGCAATACTCATGGTATACTCGAACAAAACAACATTTTCATTAGATCAAAAAGGTGTAAAAGAACAATTTTGTTCCCAAGATCCAGATCGAAATATTTACCGTTTTTGAGTTATAAAGCAAAAACTTTTAAGGGCCCAAGATCCCTAATCATAGGGGCCAGCCCCTTTTAAATAGTATAATATGAAAGCCCTTGCAATTATGCGCAACTTTTGTTCTACATGTCTTAACAAAATATTTCTAGTTTTCAAGATATAAAGGAAAATATGTCAAATTTTTTGCTGTTTTCCGCGTTCTAACTTTTGACCCCTCTCTAGCGCCATTTTTAATGCAAAAATCAAAAAAAAAACCGATGTGCACAACTTCAATGCTTCCTCTTTTCAATTTCAAAGGGTTTTGTGCTCCAATTATAACCATTTCTGAGCCTTTGTCTGGAAATGGGAGGCATGCAAAATTCAATCAAAGGGGAATAACTCGTGAACAGAAGGTAATTTCCGAATTGTATTACAGTATTCTGACAGTGTTTTGTAAAGTCTAAAAGCTCTGAAAATTTGAACAAAATCTGTTTAAAAATGAGGAAGATATGAAGCGTCAAAGTTGGCGTCTAGGAAAAAAAAAAAAAAAGAATAATAAGAATAATCTTAATCATCACAATCAGTAGAAGGTCTTCCGTTGGAAACGGAAGACCTTAATAATCTTAATCGTCACAATCAGTAGAAGGTCTTCCGTTGGAAACGGAAGACCTTAATTATTTACCGAAGCCCCCATTCAATTACAATTGCAGATGAATTAAAATACAACAACACGGGATAGAGCAATACTTTTTTTAAATGTATTGTTGCGTGAACAGACAAAAACAGCGATTAAAATTCAAAATGATTTTTATGCACCAGTGTTTGGAATTAAGATTATAAAAGATCGGTAAAGTAATCTTACTGATTCGATATAATTAAAAACATAACTTTCCATTAATTAATAGCTCTTTGCACAAAATTGACATTATACGCGATCACAAATACTAGCTTTGTTTATGGTCACAGGTGGCTAGTACACTGGTGACCTCGATCAACAGCGTGGGATTCGCGCGTTGGGTTACATAACTAAACATCGAGCTGAACATGGAGACCGTAATATGCATACAGCTAATGATCGTGAATTATTCAATGCATACAGTTTAAAATCACTTACAAAGTTTGTTGTAATAATAAACGTAGAAAGATAGATTTAATATTCGCCGCTTTTGAACACTATTAACCTAATTTAAAAAAGAAGAAAAGAAAGACTAGTTGTAATAAATAATTTAATAGTGAACCATAAACCACGTTTTAAACCTTATTAAAAAGAAAATTAACATTAAATACCGCAGGGTATATTATTGATAGCAAGTCTGTTTAAGTTATACACATGAAGAGGTCTGATTTCCTTGCCGAATGAAAAACGTTACCTGTTTACCTGGCCTGCTTTCTAATACGTATTACGCAATACCCATGGTATACTCGAACAAAACAACATTTTCATTAGATCAAAAAGGTGTAAAAGAACAATTTTGTTCCCAAGATCCAGATCGAAATATTTACCGTTTTTGAGTTATAAAGCAAAAACTTTTAAGGGCCCAAGATCCCTAATCATAGGGGCCAGCCCCTTTTAAATAGTATAATATGAAAGCCCTTGCAATTATGCGCAACTTTTGTTCTACATGTCTTAACAAAATATTTCTAGTTTTCAAGATATAAAGGAAAATATGTCAAATTTTTTGCTGTTTTCCGCGTTCTAACTTTTGACCCCTCTCTAGCGCCATTTTTAATGCAAAAATCAAAAAAAAAAAAAAACCGATGTGCACAACTTCAATGCTTCCTCTTTTCAATTTCAAAGGGTTTTGTGCTCCAATTATAACCATTTCTGAGCCTTTGTCTGGAAATGGGAGGCATGCAAAATTCAATCAAAGGGGAATAACTCGTGAACAGAAGGTAATTTCCGAATTGTATTACGGTATTCTGACAGTGTTTTGTAAAGTCTAAAAGCTCTGAAAATTTGAACAAAATCTGTTTAAAAATGAGGAAGATATGAAGCGTCAAAGTTGGCGTCTAGGAAAAAAAAAAAAGAATAATCTTAATCATCACAATCAGTAGAAGGTCTTCCGTTGGAAACGGAAGACCTTAATAATCTTAATCATCTCAATCAGTAGAAGGTCTTCCGTTGGAAACGGAAGACCTTAACAAGATGTGTTTGTGAAACACTGATGCCCCCGTATGGCAGCTTATGGCGAAGGTTAAAGTTTCTCAAATGAAAGTCAAACTCCAGGTCAAGAAATCAAAAATGTTGGTACCCAAAGAAAGGTCTTGTCACGAGAAATATACCTGTCAAATATGAAAGCCCTAACACAAATCGTTGAAAAAATATGGCGAAGGTTAAAGTTTTTTTCAAAGTATATAAAAAGGCAAGGTCAAGGTCAAATGGTGCCCAATGGAAGATCTTGTCACAAGTGATACACATGATCGTGAAATGTAAAAGTCCTAGAACAAAACGTTCAAATGTTATGGCCAAGGTTTAAATTTTTCAAAAGTAGGTCAAACTCCAAGGTCAAGGTCAATGCCAAAATTGTTGGTATCCAAAGGAAAATCTTGTCACAAGGAATATACATGTAAAGTATGAAAGCCCTAACACCAACTGATCAAAAGTTGTGACCAAGGTTAAAGTTTTTCAAAAGTAGGTCAAACTCCTAGGTCAAGGTCAATGGGTCAAAGGTGTTGGTATCCAAAGAAAGGTTTTGTCACAGGATATAAACATGTGAAGTATGAAAGCCATAGCACCAACTGGTCAAAAGTTATTGCCAAAGTTAAAGTTTTTTCAAAAGTAGGTCAAACTCCAAGGTCAAGGTCAATGGGTCAAAGGTGTTGGTTTCCAAAGAAATATCCTGTCACAAGAATTTTGTGAAATATGAAAGCCATAGCTCTAACCAATCAAAAGTTATGGGCAAGGTTAAAGTTTTTGCGGACAAACAGACAGACGGACAGACAGACGGACGGACAGGGCAAAAACTATATGCCCTCGAATCTTCGATTACGGGGGCATAAAAATGCTATCTTCTGACATTGTGATTTTGGCTTTCCAACTAAGATTGGTTTACCATCTAAATCACGTTTATCAAATTGTCCTGAAACATTTGTTTGAATAACTCTCGCAGTCTACAAATTTCTGAACTCGCTTATGCCTCTTTTCTTCTGCAGTGTTCCTCAAAGATCTTGGATAGGTCTTGTATTTCATATTATCAGCGCAATACAAGAACAACAAAACAATCTAACCCAGGGCTCTTGGTGCAGTTATCTAACTTGATCATAACAAAATCAAGTATACACAGTTACCAGCTGTATATAGTGAGAAACATCGAATTATCAGAAATATTCAACATTAAATATCCTAGCTACACTGAATTACTTGCATGTAAACTGACAAAGGGCTTTATCAAGCAGTTTCTTCTTTCGTGGACCTAAATTTAGTTGTTTTGAACATCTTTGTTTACTTTAAAGTTTCTACATTTTAAGTAGAACTTCGGAAATCATAATCTATACTAATATAAGAGTGAATTGCAAACTATAAACTTCACATGCCATTTATCAATGAGGACTTCGTTTGGTTGAGCAATTACTTCCTAATTCGCAACTGAAATCTTTTTAGGTTGGTGTTCGTGTTTTTGACAGATGAAGAGAATCAAGACGAGTAAATTCATCTTAGACATAGCAACGACTTGGATAAACTCAAAATATATTTCATCCCGGCTATAATATAACCGCTGTCTATCAGAACGTCCGTCCATCAGTAGAGCAGCATCATTACTAAGTACACACTCTGACCCTGAACCACATTCAGGGATTGAAATAGAACGTGAAGACCGCAGAGAATGCAGAAGGGTTTAACGGAGGCTGATAAGAATAGAATTCTGTTATAAAAACCATCACTCGACTTTCCAATTTAGAGTCTCAAACACGGGTGAATCATATACAGAAAAACACGCCAAGTTTCTATTGTTTTAACCAGTGTTTCTGTTTTAACTTAAGTGTAAAGTCATTAAAATCATAATGAATTTCAGTTAGTACTTAAATTCGAGTTTTGCACACACAAATATAGAACTGAGAACGTAGCTTTGTATAACATACGTGTGAGCTACTGATTTGTTTTTTTTTTTAAATAAATAATTACATTTTCAAAACATTGGTAAAAGAATGACAAAAACACGTATCGTCCAATAAATTTCTCAAAAATACGACTACAGCGTAGAATGTGAAAATTGCGTATTATAATTGATACACACTTCTCATTCACAGATTTCTCAAGATTTCTCAGTAATATTTTTATCTTCATCCCCCCTTTGTTATCTTGTAGTTATCTTTTGGAAGCACGAAGGAGATGTTTTATTCTATTACTGAAATCTGACAAAATTCGGGAGGAGCATGATTCTGGCAATGGTTTAGCGAGATTATAAAGAGTCTTCAATGTATATTCCTCTCGATATGACATAATAATTGCGTCACTTTCTCGTGATGACTAAGAGCCGGTGTATTTTATGAATGACTGGTCTTGTAAATGCCTGGCATTCTTCAGGCAGTGATGCGGCTGTCTACTGCCGCGCTAGTATTCCATTAGATCGCAGGAACCACTTTCTCATAAGAGCGTTAAGCATCAAAGACGGATTCCATTTCAACGAGCTGCAAAATTATTGGATATAAACTGTTAGCTCTTCATTTCAATACGCATCTCTGGTAAGTTGAATAAACAATTATTTTGTAATTTTATTTTATTAAAAAAATATGTTTGATTCTAAAATAATTATAATATTTAAAATAATCATATGTATATCTACTTCCCTTACAATTATTTTTTCTGCATAGTAAGAATAATTGGAATGTGAGTAAATGATGTCTGTAGAAATTCGTGGTAGCGATAAGTTTCCGTTATCTTTTCTATTATCTAGAAGAAAAACAGACTCAGGCTCTGTACGTACTCCAGAATCAGAGCTCGGGAAATATGGCAAAGTTTCGATCAGAGCTACAGGTTCCTGTGAAAAAGGACGAAATGACATTTCAAGACCGTCAGGTTAAATCTTGGGAGGATATGGAAGTTCGCATGGAAAAACGCAGGAAGGAATGGGACGATGAATTTGAAAAAATCCGAAAAGATTTCTTCACATTGAAACCTACAGATAATCATATTGGAAACGGAAGTATTGGCAATCACATCGGACCAAGCAGTAGCATGGACACACTAAATTCCATGTTCGAAAATGATGGAACGGGAGAGAGGTTTAAAGTGAGGTTTGATGTTTCTGAATTCCGAGCAGAGGAAATTCAGGTCAAAGTGCAAGACAACAAATTATTTGTTTCTGCTAAACACGAAGAGAAATCTACAAAAGCCTCGGTAAGTCGTGAATACAGTAGACAAGTCGACATACCGAATAACGTTGATCAGGAGAGACTGCAGTGTGTTTTAAGTAGAGATGGAATTCTAACGGTAGATGGTCCCACTAAAGGACAAATTCAAATAGAAAGGGAGACAACTCTGCCAATACAACACCAGCCATCAAATACCCCCATAGTAACACCAGTGTCTCCAACACCTAACGCTAATAACCAGATAACGCCTTTCTCTAAACCACTAGAAATCGCCACCCCTGTCAAAAACCCCATCATTACGGAGCCGGACGGCACGCGCAAACTTCGACTCAGTGTGGACATCGGGGAGTTCAAACCAGAGGAAATAGTCGTAAAAACAGCCGACCGGAAGTTGATTGTACACGCAGAACACGAGGAGAAGTTGTCCGGTCGCACACTTCATAAGGAGTTTAACAAGGAATATGAATTACCGGAATCGGTGGATCAGTCCGCTATTACGGCTTACATCGGAGAAGAAGGGAAATTGTTTGTCGAGGCTCCGCTGAAACCACAACAACAGAAAAGATATTCCATCACACAGAGTCATGACGTCAGAAAAGTAGTTGTCACCAAGGAATCCCAAGTGACCATCACTGATAGCAACAACCGACCCATGGTAACTATCAATGTACATCGGCGTTAAATAGACGCTTGATTCGTACACAAAAGTGCTGTAGAGAGAACCCAGTGTCTCGAGTAGACAAAATATATTGTCTTCTATTTCTCTTACAAAATTTTATTAAGGCAAAACGAGGAGACATTCATACAGATCTCTCGTAAGAAATTCAGTTACAAAGAAAAAGTGTCGGGGCCATTCTATTCGGTTTCGTCTTCAGAAATTCACTGGAAAAGGTTTTTTTTTCTTAAGCGATTTGGATTATGCATTTTGTGTTAAACCCATTTTACGTAAAATTGTGTTCATCACCCTTGCATCCACTTGTTGCGCAGATTCATCATTGCACAAATATGTTATCTTCATCGGCATGCCAACTGTCAGTAACCGGATATGACCCTTGACCCCGACATACACCAGTCGTGTGTTCTCTTCAATTTATCTCAGACTCCAAGAATTACATAATGTTTGTTTAATGTTATTGAAAACTTTAAGTATTCCTTAATGGCAAGCGTCAGTTGGAAGCTTGGAACCAATCCAAATTTAAATCTTTTAGGGAAATGTGAAAGTTCTGTCAATGTGAAGACTTCAGTTACGGATGCATTGTTGATCATGTGAAGACGCTCTTCATTTCTCGGTAATTGACTGACAGATCCTGAGTGGTTATCTGTATACGTGATAAAACCTAATAGCTCGGGAAAAAAGAACTGTTTTAATGTTACATGTTTTTAAAGGTTTTCATTGTTTATATTTATATTTAATAACTGAGATTAATATATTTAATTTGTAAATATTCATACGTGTATATAGACTGTACGAAGGTTCTTGTAACATGAGTATTTATTCCATATTGCCATTTTGATTTAGTTATTAAACTGTTACTGGCCAATATACTGTCCAAACAGCATCTGATTCATTGCGAGTCTTTGTGCACACTGACTAGTATTTTCTCACTTTGCAAGGAAAATCGCCATTGAATGTTGTCAGCAAAGTAGTTGTACTGTGATATGCTGTGTTTTACTTTGAGGGAAAGTGCGAGGTCATTTATGAAAAAAAGTGCGAATAATTTATATTCATGTTCATGTGGCAAATGCTCATATTTAAAAAAAAATAAGGGTGGTAACTCACCCCAGCTCATTCAGTGTGAACCTGTGATTAAAAATGGCCGTCTTATAAATGTTCAATAGCTCTTTGTTGTGTCTATATGTTTCTATTGTAGATAATTTGTAAAATGTGTACAAAAATAAACCTTACTGTCTTTTTTTCTGATGTTTAATTGAATGTTTAAACTTGACAAAAATATGTTATTGAAATCTGATGATGAAATTTAAGAATATTATTCACCCACGACTCCCATCTATTAAGTCTCTCTTGTTTTCCTTTGTTAGTCGTCTGTTGAGTTAATCTCGGGAAGGCTTATCTTCCCACGTGTCCCAAAAATCACGAAAAATTCAGCATATGAACACAGTTTCAAACTGAGGACATTTTTTTTGGTTTCTCTGCCTTGCTGTGCGTGCTGATTACATAATATGGAATCTTATGGAGTCTTCTGCTCGTTTTGTTTTGCGAATACAAGAGTATAATTTTACTAACAGCTATTCAATCTGTTTAAGATTTAAATTTTCCTATAGAAATTTCTGTTAGAATTGAACAACGTAGACGCGAAATGTATATTTTAGGAACATTAACACATGAGAGTTTTTAACAGCTGAGAGCAAAATGGCGAACGACAGGTGTGAGAAATTAACAAAAGCTTCCTTAATACCCAAAATATAACAAGTTTGGAGAGAACCTGGTTTGCTATTGCAGATATGCAACAAAGGATTGACGATCATAAACTAATACGAACCACCTAGTCTTTTGATGTATGCAAGTCGGAAGAAAAACCGCGAGATTCAAGGACAAATATTGCTCAGGAATATTTGTCGAGGTCATGGCTCTACTACAGACGTATCAGATTTGACTTCTGTGATGTGAAATTGTGTGTATTTACCTTACTTTTATCTTATCTTCTTAATTTATTGGTGAATAAATACTGCTTTATCTTTTTTACAACTAACTTCTATGATCTTTGGTGTCCATCAGCAGTTTATCATGAGTTTGTTAGACCCTCATCTGACATCGGCGTTCTTCTGCAAGAATTTAAAAATCACTTAAAGTAAAATTTTGAAATAGCTTATTGAAAATGTCAGTTGAGCATCAATTCACATTTAAATATCACATCTGTCGTCTGTAAAGTTATTTCTCACTACTTAGAAACAAGATAAAACCTTAAGATTAATATCTAAATAACATGAACATAGCCGATTCTGAAAACTAGGCGTATCCATGGCCGCTAGCTTTAGCTCTTTTTATAATTTTCTAGCCTTTTCATTGAAGACTTCGAAGTAAAAATCGAAGACAAGTATCTTTTTCCAGATTTTTTAAATTGATATATTTCACCTTTTAAAAGTTACATAATTTTGACTTTAGCCTCTAAAGTGTACATGTCTCGTTGAATTTTTGCTGGTAATATAGATGGAACTTATATATATATTCTTTATATGCCTGTTACTTCAGCCTGGGGTCGTAAAATAATAATATTTATTCGATGTTTGTCGGATATATTCTGGTGTCGAATAAGCATTCCGCATGTTCATTCAAAACAATGGATGCCACATGTAAGCAAAGCCAATTGTTTCCTAAATTCTCATGTAACAGACAAGTATTTCTCAGGATTCCACTGACCATATCTATTCAATATCGAAATTCGAAAGCAATCATTAAACAATTTTCCCTTCCATGTTTTAACAAAATATAATGACCATGCGAGTTTCCAGTAAAAGAGGCAATGCGTGAGTTTTTTCCGCGCTGAATTCTTTTTAATCAAGATTAATTCACAGTTATCTGTGTAATTTCATTTACTTTGTACATGTAATACTGACAAACCTTGAAAACTTACAGTTGTCTCAGTCGTTAATGTGGGCTCTCTAACTTTTTGTTTTTCAGAGATACGTGTACTTCGAGAATATGTCTGTCATACTTTGAAATAATATACATGTAATGGATTTTGTATATATAAAAAAAAAATCACTCTAATTATGTATAAGTGCTCTGAGGTTGATATTAAAAGGATGTTGGAGTTTCTCATTGACAACATCTATGTAGTCTTTGGAGACCAGGTCGATGGGAACTAATTGTGCTCCTTTATTAGCCGACCTGTTTTTTTTATATTCCTATGAAGCAGAATTTATTCAAAAACTTCTATATGAGAAGAAGAAAACACTTGCTGTGGCTTCAACTCGACATTCAGATATATCGAAGACGTTTTATGAATTAACAATAGTTACTTCCATTCATATTTCGACTCGATATATCTCAGTGAACTCGAAATAAAAGACACAACAAAGTCTGCTGCATCTGTTTCCTGTTGTGATGTATAACTGACCTATAGATGATAAGGGTCAACTAACAACTAAACTATACGACAAACGAGATGAAGTCATCTTTTTCATCGTCCACTTTTCTTAAGTATGCAGTAATACTCTTCTATCACCTACAAATGGCGTTCATGTCTCCAAATTTATTCGATACTCAAGAGCACAATCAATTTTTAAACCGAGACAGGCTACTAACAAATAAGTTGATGTTACAGATATTTTAACAACTTTGTTGAAAGTCAGCATTTCGTAAATTCTATGGTCGTTATGATTTTCTTAGCAAATACAATCTATCACTGGGTCGTATTTTGACTGACATATTTCATACCAATTGTTACGCCTTTTTTTTAAGTACTAAAATTGAGTACATATGACTCCGTCAAAGTACCGGGTAAATATTAACTAAACCAAATGGCAATCAAATTATCTATTTGAAAGAAGCATTTTAGTTTTTATCAATTTGTTTAAGAAACTCTCTGAGTACATTGAAAGAAAATAGAGACGGTTGCCAAACATTGCATTGCCTAATTTATAAGTTAAACATTCCGTAGACCCTGGACGATCGCTTATCACTGCAATGAAAACAAAAACCTTGATAACATTTAGTTCTGTGAATCTTCATTAAACAGATATTAGGTCCGATATTTCTGTACATCTATGAGAACCAACTGTCGTTGGCTTGTTTGTGTGAAGATGAAGAGCGGTTTTACCTTACATCCTCGTGGAGATTAGCTAGTCTAAATTTACCTTCAAAGACATAAGAGTGGATTCCAAACCGCGGGGAAGCTGCACATTGATAATGGCTGATCTGATGATACATGTTTCTTCACTTTCAATAAATTCCTGTACATCAAACGAAATTCTGGATTCTTATTTTTAAGAGTTCTGAGTTTTTTTTTAGTGGTCAAGAATGTAACCGAATGTTTTTTTCTTAAAACTTTGTTCCTTAATCTGCCATTAAATGATTATAACATTTGAATGCAACATTGAATGGAAAATGGAAAAGATACAACATTATAAAGCCATGTTTCTTTTATAATTGATTCTTGGACTGAAAGTTTCCTGATCATTGCTGACAGTCGTGAGATTGCTTGTTTGAATCCAGGTAGTTTTGTTACCTTTAAACTGAGTACCGCTAACCTTGTACACATCATTGCAGAATATACGACATTCTGTTCTGTTCGTTTTACTATGGTATTGATGCCTAAATTGTTTTTCCTTAAAATTATCAACAAAACTAATGGTTGACTGTTTTTCAACGCATGCATCAATACTTATATGATTTTGACGTTTTGGAGTATGTTTTACGCAATAATATCAATCATGTTTACTGCACCCAAAAAAGTAAGCTAACTAAAATACAAAAAATAGCACACACACAAAAGGAACTCACACAGTCTGGAAAATCTGAATACCTTTAAGTTTTTGGAGTTTTACTCAGTCAAATGTATGACACTGTTGCATAAGTATTACCATCTCTGTGCTGGAGGTCTGTATACTAGTAAATCAAACATGTTATTGTTTTCAGCAACAAAACTCTCTCTATATAATTGTTTATAGTTTCTTCTACCGGCCATGGAATGCAATGAGCGGAATAAATAAACGCAACAAGGAATTTTGACTGGAAGCACCTGCACATCGAAAACAAGGTGTGAAATATCACAGATTGTGGGCTTTTATTAGATCTACTAGCACTTTCTTAGAGATTTCAAATTTTTATATAAAATTTAAGATGTGAATGCTTTTGCTATCTCCGTGTCAATCTAGCTATTGCGTTTATTGTATTGTTTCCAGACCATTATTACGTTATAACTAAAATGCCAAAATTCCCCGTTTATCAAAGAATTAATGAAAAATATATATTCCACAGAACCTACTCCAAACAGCCTTAATGCTGACATTGATGTTAACTTACTAACCCAGGTTATCAAAATCTGGAAATGGATCAATCATTTAGGTATGTCAATATTTTGCAAAACGTTCTTTATGGAAGTTGCCAAAGTCATAACGAAGTTGTTTATCGTCCAGTCATTCAGTCTGAGTGGGTACAGAAATTTCGTGAATTCGTACAATTGTTTACCAAAAGATGACAACTTGTCATAATCGCTCATGTAAAGTTTTCAATTGAAAAAGAAGAGATTCTGACAATTTACGCTTTCTACACACCAGCAGATCTGCTAGCCCAAGACTCTTCTATGTGTAGTTACAGCAAGAATTTTGTTTACAAAGTTTATAAAGCTTTAAACTCTGATATGTTTTCAACTTTCATCTTGAGTAGTGTTGAAGCAGCATTTATTGTGCATATTCGGCGTAAACCACGCAGTATCAGAGAGATCCTGGATCTGAGGAGTTGTTAATTGTGAGACGCTTCTGTCAGACAGGTGTTAGATCTATCACATCAGAAAGTCAGATCCTAGATACCTGTGATTTACAGAGTATATTAAATGCCAGTCTTCTGAGAAATAGAAAAACCAGCTCAATTTATTACTCAATGCATCAATGGCGCGGTAACAAGTTGGCACTTTTAGTTACTGTGGAGTAATTGGAAGGAGAAGACAATCAGATGATAGGATGGTTTCTCTAAAAAAAAAAAAACAATGGAAGTAAGACCCTTTACAACAGTATTAATTTGAAGAAATTTGCAATTAAACTTCAAGTCTTGTGGTCGCTGATAGAAACATTTCTATTCATAAAATAATTGGCAAATTAATTTAGAAATACAGGTCAGGTCGTGTTGCGTTAATTTAAAATGTCTGTGTGTTGAAACATGACTTTGACCCATTTATGAATGTGTGATCTCAACCAGTGACCCTACAGAAAATTTAAGCATACACTGGATTTAA